CCCCACACACACACACACATTTTGCTTTATGGCCGCCTAACGGGACTCTTTCATTGAAAAGATTTAGCGTGACGTACGTAGAGTAGAGTAGCTGTCCGTGTCTGTGTAACATGCTGCAACTATGAAATCTGACCTGGCGTCTAGCTCGTCATTCCTGACAGGTTCAGGCTAGAGCTGGGGAGTGAGTCGCTTTAGCAAAAATCTGGATAATATTTTCGTCTACCTCTTCGGCAAATAACATGTTATGAACCGCTTCAACAAATGGATTAGAACCATTTCTACAAACGGGTTAGCTTCACTTCAACAAGTGGGTGCACCTACTTCGGCAAACGGTTAAAAAAAAAAGTTTTAGTAGAGATTTTACCGCGCTCACAACTTCATAAGGTCATATGAGCGCAGAAAGAGTAAAGAGTCAGAATTCGGATAATGTTTCATTGAGAATTATCCGGTTATACGGATATCTTATCCGGATTTTGCCCACCTCTAGTTTAGGCGGGCTGCGGAGTATGCCTGCCACCAGCTGGTTCCATTTGACAGTTGACTTATCCGGGGGGGATTATGACGTAATAGCGCAGCATTTCCTTACCACCCTGTGCACATTGTCTGTTTGTTAAATGATACCTGTAGATCTACCTTGAATCATTCCATACAGGATGTTCCTTCATGGAAAGGCGAAAGATTGCCTGCATTGTATTATTATCTGCTGCATTTTTTAAAAGTACTGTATATTATGCAGTTTTACAGTTTTACTGGGACCCCCCCCCCCCCCCCCCAAAAAAAAAAACAACCCAACAACAACAACCAAACAAACAAACCCAACAACAAACAAACAAACAAACAAACAAACATACAAATAAACAAATAAACTAACAAATACAAAAACAAACAGTCAAACAAAAAGACAAACAAACAAACAAACAGCTGAAAAAGACCACTAAAAATACTCTGAATATTATTGTTACCAAGAAAATATTTCCTTTGAAGATAATAAGAAAGACGTTGTTTTTAAGAATATATACTTAAAAAAATATTGACCTGGGGTGTTTGCTTACAGTTACAGTTCTCGGGAATCGAACTTGGGTCTCTTGCGTGCGACAGCTAACCGCCTAGTCGTTACACAATAGACGCCCGTTTATAAAAGTGTAAAGATGGGTGGTTGGTGGGTGCTCTGGTGTGGTTTGCTTCTTCTTTCCTATAAAAAATCTATCGCCCTTATCTCTCCTCCTTGTTTTTTGTTTGGCACCCTCTACACCTCTAATCTTCATCACTTATATGACCTATTATTATGTTGTAAGTGCCGTAAAACTCTTACTAAAACTAAAAAAGCTCTCTCTCTCTCTCTCTCTCTCTCTCTCTCTCTCTCTCTCTCTCTCTCTCTCTCTTTCTTTCTTTCTCTCCCCGGACCAATGATCTAAAAATACACGTTGGCACGTAGGTGTGATTGAAGTAGGTTACTGCGCCCTGCTTAAAGACCACCTCATTATAGTATGGTTTAAATATGTATGCCTTTGTATGGCAAATGTCCCCCCAAAAAAGGAAGATCGCATTGGTATCATAATGTATCATGTGTACTCACGAAGAAGAAAAAGGAATACAGTGTAGTATAATTATATTATTGATTGGAACAGGTGGGTGATGGGTAAAAAAATAAATAAAAAAAAGCCAGGATAAAAATACGTTTTGTTTGTTTGCTTGTTTGTTTGTATGTATGTTTGTTAGTTTTTAGAGCATCCGAGCAACAGCATCAACTGCTGAAAAAAGGATAGTAGATTGATCTCCAATTTTTGTAACAGATCTGGCACTTGATGATTGATTGATTGATTGATTGATTGGTTGGTTGATTGTTTCAGTGAGTGAGCGAGTGAGTGAGTGAGTGAGTGAGTGAGTGAGTGAGTGAGTGAGTGAGTGAGTGAG